CTCCTCTCTCACCCCATTTTCGACACACCCATTTCCTCTTTCCTTCACTTTCATTCTCTCTTCCTAGAACCATCTATGTACACATATATGTTTATATAATTTAAACCTTGATTTCAGATGGTTGGAGTGATTTTTGAGGAAGGCAAGAGGAGATAGTGGATAAGCTTGAGGAGAGCTTCTATTTGACACCCATATTGCTAGGGTTTGGAAGAATTTTGAAATTTGGAGGCCTTAAGGCTTGTTGGCTAGCTTCAATGAGGTAGGGGTTTTCTAATTCACATTTTCTTGAGCTTTTGTGAATTAATTACCTAAATTTGTGGTTAGCATGGTTAATCTTGTAGAAATTTCATGTTATATTGCGTATATGATTTATCAAAGTTGTGAATATATATTGTTTGGTATACATGATGATGAACCGTGCTTAATTGGTGATTAATTGTGCTCCTTGTACCTTTGTTGCTAAAATTCGTGACTTGAAAGTGTGAACTACGCTATAGAAATTTTTTTAAATCATGTGATTATGTGTTAGTTAAAATTATATGGAAGATCATGCCTAATTAATGATATTATTTACCTATGGTGTGAAAAATGCTAGATGTTGTGATATGGAAGCATGTTATTTATTTTTTTGAGATTTCCCCAAGGCTTGTTGTATGGAGTTGTTGATTTGCATAGGATGAAAATTATATACATTGGCATGACTGTGTTAGGCACGATGCATTCATGCATTCCATTGAGAAAGAAAATGGGAAAATGTTTTGAAGAGTAAAAAAAATGGGAACTTGCTTTCCTTGGGAAATTATTTTGAAAAGTGTTTGCAAAAACCCGGACGCCTAGGAGGCGCCTAGTGGTCCATGGTATTAGTGTATTCTAGAAAGGAGTATGGTTGAGTTAACTAGGCCGGATGCGACGCCTTGGAGGTGCCTTGTGGTCGTGGATAGTTAGCCAACCCTCCTTTCGTGACGCCTTGGAGGTGCCTTGCGTCGGATTACACTAACGGTTTGGATGTTGAAACGGAAATGTTTCAGAAAATGGGGAACGACATGAGCATGGCATTGCACTTTATTGGCATACATGGCGTGATTATGACTTGGATTGTTTGTTGTTGATATAATGGTTATCTTTCTCCTCGAAGTTGTATGATCCCGTTTTCTTTGCTTTATTCATTGTTTGGAATTCACGGGGTCACAAGAGGTGTGTCTTAGGCACCTCTTACTGAGCTTTATGCTCACCCCTTTATTATTAACATTTTTCAAGTTTAGGCAAGGAAGGGGCGGACGACAATCCACCACCTATTTAGTCGGGTTGACGGACTTAGGCTTTTGTACTTGACGTGTATTATACTCCTAATTTTTGTATGTAATATTGAGGGACATTTTGTATCACCTCCACGGTTGGAGATGGATTTAAGACTACTCATTTGTATTTTATAGTCACATTATGATTTCAAGACCTATGTAAGGCCTTAAGGCCACATTTTTTTTAATGTATGACATTTTCCCTTAATTTTAATGGTGTAACGGACTCATGTATGGCGCCATTTAATTTCATTATCACTTAAGTATGTTAGTTTTATTTTTATATGGAAGATTTGGGATAGGTTTGGGCTTTGAATTAGGTTACCAAGGGACCAAGATTGAGCCAAGGTGCAAAGAATCAAAATTTTAAGTTGTTAGGGGCATTTGGGAGGTTCTGGGCATCTTAAACCGGTTCAGCCCCATTGAACCGGTTCAAGAGGGGGTCTTTGGTTCGAGAATGGGCATACTGCCCATCTCGAACCGGTTCAAGGTCCTTAAACCGGTTCAAGTTCCCCAGTGTGTTGTTTTGCCTTCCTCAATTGACAACTTGGAATATTTGACTTCAGATGGTCATAACTTCTTCGTTCGGAACCCAAAGAGGGTCATTCTTGAGCCCATTTTCAAGGATTTTAAGTTAGCTTTCCAATGAGACCAACCTCATCCTCAAATACCACTCATGCAGAGAATTATGGTCGTTTTAGGGGAGTAGTGTCGGAAATTGCATTGAACCGATAAGGGTACTTTTGGGAAATCATATTCAATGATCATAGAACCTCTTCAAGTGTCATGAAATGATTAAGACTGAATATTTTAAACCTTATTTGATTATTTTAAGGGTGGATTACCCTCTCACCTTGTAAAATGACCAATTTGTCCTTAGTGTGTCCTCGAGTTTGGTTAAAGACCCGGTTAGCGATCCGGACCCCCGTTTGGGTCGTTACACCATTGGTCTCAAATGATAAACCTGGTCAAGCTCTTATACTTTCTCTTCTTGGCCTTCTTCAAAATCTTACCATAACCCTTCTAAATCTAAACGTATAGATAGGTATAGAAAGAGAAGAAGGAGACTAGAGAAAGAAGGGGGTTCTACGAAAATAAATGAAAAGGAATGGGGGGTTTTCCAAGTCCTCCAAATAGGATATGGTGCATATGATGCCAAGTGTCACAATTTTGTGGTCACTAACTTTATACAAAGTTACCAACAAGCCCTCATTCATCCATCACAATGCCAACCTTGTCCCAACAAATATCTTTCTAATGTATAAATACACATATGTGTATATGCATGTGAAATGTCAACAACGCCCCTCACTTAAAATGAGAAAATCGGGAGAAGTTCTCGAGCCCGGAAGTCGTCCCGACTCCCAAAAATTCTAAAAACGATACCATCACTTATAATTGACTTAAAATAATAAAAATGAACTTCTAAAACCCTTGACTCAAGAAAATGACTAAAACGGCCCTTAGGACCTGCGTGGCACGCAAAATGAGGCATGAAAAATAAATACAATAAAAATTCAAAAAACAATTAATCCAGAAAATTCCAAAAAATTACAAGACCATTTTACCCCTGGGCATTTTCGGGTTAGTTTAGGACCTAGTTAGCATTCTAGACCCTTGGTTTGGGTCGTTACAAATGGGGTCCCCTATGTGTGAAAATGGCTAAAAAGCCCTCTTATGCAACTACCACTACACGTGCCACAAATATATATCTAAACACATATACACATACATATGCACCAAATAATAAATATGAAATGCGCATGGACTAAAAATGATTACCCGAGGACAAAAAATCCGGGTGTGGGGCCCACATGGACCTCTCAGACCAAAAATCCGAAAAATAGTAAAATGACTCAAAATATATTTCTAAGAATTCTAAACTCAAAAAAATGCCCTAAACAAACTCCGAGACCCACACGGCACTTTTAACGATGTTCAGCACGCAAAACGGGACGTCAAAAAATAACTATAAAAAATCAAAAAAGTGTGGAACGTCACAACTTTTATGATCCGAAGTGGTTAGAAATGACCGTCACGACCTCGTTGTAACATTTGTTGCATGGTGAGGAAAAATGACCATTTTGCCCTTAGTGTCAACGGGTTCAAGTAAGGACCCAGTTAGTGATTCGAACCTCCGGGTTCAGGTCGTTACACAGAGATTTACAACCTTCACAAATCTTTGGCTAAAAGAGAAGAGCTTGCCAATATAGTAAAGAGGGCACTAGCATTAGTCAAAGAAATATAAGCCTAGTAAATATTGGAGCTATAAAGAGTAATGTACATTACTAAAAGAGTAATGGTAGACACATTATGAATTTTTATTTATTTATTTATTTTTACAAATATTGATCACAAAAATTTAATGTGTGCCTGCTTCGTATCACGCCACCTAAATTTTAAGAATAAACAAAATACCTTATAAATTAGGAACTTGTCAAATATTTGATTTTATAAATAGAGCTCATTGATAACCAATGGGCATCTATCCGAATGGCATAATCTAAACTTCCCCTTCCTTAAAGGAGATGGCCCAATTCAAGCCCGAGTGTGGGCAAAAAGTATATAAGCTAGCTATTTGGGACTCTCAAATGGTTCGCAAATTCCGAATACGTGTAATTGCTCGCAAATCATATATTATACATATCATCTAAACATGAATGTTTTTGTACTTACTGAGAATCAAATCCAGAGAGTTGTATTTCTTGACAATGAATTTTATTTTTATTTTTATTTTTTATAAACTTATGGATAAACTTGAATTTTAGGGGTTCAACATTGTAATTGAAATTCAAGTGCTCAGATCAAATGGTTTATTTACTATCAAATCTTCTTTTTTCTTTTTCTTTTTCCACTCATAATTCATAAGAAAGCCATCTCGATGAGCAATGCATCGCAAGACGATTTAAATAACTTCTTTATTACATTATGTAATAAAAAGAAAAGAAAAAAATGATTATTAAGTTGTTAACTTGTTATATGTGCATTATATCATTTGAATCAAGACCTAAAGCATATGTTCTCATTACCATATCCTTGCATCCAAACTGGACTGGAGACATCAGATACTGGTTGCTTACATGTACGCGATTTCAGACATTTTATAATGACAAATCCATGTCGTGTTCTAGTCCCCAAAATGTTTAATTTTTTATTTTTTATTTTTTATTTTTGGCACTTTAATTTGTTAAGTTAAATAACCAGAAAATCAAATCACTACATGCTCATTAAGTACAACGTACGTGTTTTTGTTTTTGAAAAATAATTGCATCACTGTATCACATACAAACGATGAGAGTAAGAAAATACTGTAGGGAACAAAAGAAGCTCCTTGGGTGCTTCCTTCCAGGCCAGCTTGTTATGGACTGGCACTCTCTGTCTCTTCTCTCACTCTGATAGAGCCTCCTCACACTTTCTCTCTCTAGTTTTTCTATATTGAACTGATATGTATTCTTATACATTGCCTCTACTTTATATCTACTATCTTTTCTTTACTTTACATTCATTTCTAGAATCTTGATTGGTTTCATGTTTTCTGCTTTTTTGAGTTGAATTTATTAGTATAAACTTTACATTTGTTTTTTTGCTGTTGCTGTTGCTGTTGTTGTTGAGCACTGACCATATAAGTTCCTTTCATTCCCTTTTGACCCCCCATTACACTCACTATCAGATCTACAGTCCCTTTTCCAAATACCCTTTTCAGGCTTATATATTTGGAGGTTTTCTTTCACAACTTTGTGTGTCCATAACACTTTGAAGCTTCAAAACAATCATCCAATTGTGGATTGAGGTAATGTAATACTTCTTTGATTTTTGATTCTGGCTTGTCTTTTATGGCACAAATCTCTCTTTAGCTATCTGGGTATTTCAGATTAGCATGAATGTTAATAAATGAAATGCATTTTATTCTTGAATATATATATATGTATATATATATAAATCCTTCCCCAAATTTGAGTAACTGTAAACTTGTCTAAGTTCCCACATTGAAGTCTCTTTTGTAATCCCTTTGTCTTAGCTATTTTTCCCTTTTTGGCATTGAAGAAGGTGCCCATTTGTCTAAGTTATATTGAAAAGCATGGAAGAAAACTTCGTCCCGTTTCGCGGAATCAAGAATGACCTTCAAGGGAGGTTGATGTGCTACAAACAAGACTGGACTGGTGGTCTAAGGGCAGGTTTCAGGTAATACTTCTCTTCTGTAATGATAAGACACTATTGTAGTAGAATATGTCTGGGTAATATATATATTTCACATGTTTCAATTCTGTCTTCCTTTGTTGATGTTAAACTCGGTATCATGTATCATTGTGTTTAGGATTTTGGCCCCCACCACATACATATTTTTTGCTTCAGCAATTCCAGTCATTTCGTTTGGTGAACAATTGGAAAGAAATACAGGTAACAATAACACACCAATATTGGAATTTCTATTCCGTTACTCAATTTCTACTACATTTCCTTACGATTTCAAAGTGGCTTGAAAATGGTTGTGCTTATTGATGAACGATGTTTACACCTTTCCTGATATTGGTACTGACAGATGGGTTGATTACGGCGGTCCAAACGTTAGCTTCTACTGCATTATGTGGTATTATACACTCTATCTTTGGAGGTCAGCCATTGCTGATTCTTGGAGTTGCAGAACCAACTGTGCTTATGTACACATTTATGTACAACTTTGCTAAAGACAGACCAGATCTCGGACCAAAGCTCTTTCTAGCTTGGACTGGATGGTATTATGTCTGTTCTTGTTTATCAATTTGACATTTAATTCTTTTCTTTTATTTTCCTTTCTTTTTCTTTTTCTTTTTCTTTTTTTTTTTTTTTTTTTTTTTTTTGTCTTGGAAAGTTTCAGTGGTTTTATGTTTTATAAGTTACGTGCTTCTATGACCATTTGGATGGGCAGGGTATGTGTTTGGACTGCAATCTTGCTGTTCCTTCTAGCTGTGCTAGGAGCTTGCTCCATCATTAATAGGTTTACTCGTGTTGCGGGGGAATTGTTTGGCCTACTTATTGCAATGCTCTTCATGCAGCAAGCCATCAAAGTATGAGTTATAACACTTTTTTTGACTGCCCTATGTCTAATTGGCTTGGCAAGAAATCTCCATAAAATTGTTTTCTATTTTTCTGCTAAGCCACTGGAATTTTATGTCAAATTAGGATACAATACTTCATTAATTAAATTATTAATGATTTTATGAGTAAAGTAGTAGTTTTTGGTGTTCATAGAATACATTGGTGGATGTAGGGACTTGTTGATGAGTTCCGCGTACCCAAACGAGAAAGTCCAACGTTGGCAGAGTTTCAACCATCATGGAGGTTTGCAAATGGGATGTTTGCTTTAGTTTTGTCATTCGGCCTTCTTCTCACTGCACTAAGAAGCCGAAAGGCAAGATCTTGGCGATACGGTTCTGGTAAGTTTGTTACATTTTGTACTGACATATGTTCCATATCCACCAGAAAATAGAAAAATTGAAAATTCATTTATGTTCCTCTAGTTTGAAGTGCATGTAGTGGTTTAAATTAAGAATTTGTTCTCTAGTCATAAGAATTTTCACCTTCCATTAGGATTTGTATGCTATCTTCTCCATCATCTTCTAAGCAAACAATAGCTTTTCCTATCTTCAACTTCTTTAGCTTATGGTTATGCTAAACAATCTCCACCAAGCCTTACTCTAACTATACAAAAATCATGATTTGCCATTTTGCTCTATTTGATACCATGATTTCTTGTAAATCATAAAAACTATTATTTCTCCTTCACACAGGTTGGCTTCGAGGTTTCATAGCAGATTATGGTGTGCCACTGATGGTTCTCATCTGGACAGCTGCTTCTTATATACCTGCTGGAAGTATTCCAAGAGGAATCCCAAGGCGTCTCTTCAGCCCAAATCCATGGTCTCCGGGTGCATATGGGAATTGGACAGTAATAAAGGCATGTTTAATTCGCATTAGTTTTATGTTTGTCCTGATAGAGTAATAACTTTTTGATACCATACTTCTATAACCTCTCTAAAGAGTGTGTTGGCTTATGCTTAAAAACTGACAGGATATGCTGGATGTGCCGGTTCTCTACATAATCGGAGCTTTTATTCCAGCAACAATGATTGCGGTACTTTACTATTTTGACCACAGTGTAGCATCTCAACTTGCTCAGCAAAAAGAATTCAACTTGAGAAAGCCACCTTCTTTCCACTATGATTTACTTCTTCTAGGGTTCATGGTATGCAGTTCTCCTTTTTTCTTGTATAATATTTTATATCTGTTCCGGAGTGATATGATGCCTAAACTACAGTTGCATTGAATTTGAGCAGTAGTTAAAAATGAAAGTTTGTTAATGAATGGCAGGTTATATTGTGTGGTCTCCTAGGAATACCTCCTTCAAATGGTGTCATTCCACAATCTCCGATGCATACCAAAAGTCTGGCTACCCTTAAGCACCAGGTAGGTAAATCAGCCCGTATACAGTGAAAGGCTTTCTTGTTTTGATGATAAACATACAGATTGTCAATCACTAATGGTTAATTTGTTGTTCATATTGTTCTCTAAGTTGTAATCTTACTAGCAACTCAATTAACCCCCATTATATATAACTATGTACTATCTATATGTTTAGAATCCAACTTAGTTACCCTTAAAATTCCATTATATACATAACTGTGTAAATATATAACTATAATTATAAACTGTGTGTCTTCATGGCTGTCTGTATTCAGTCCCTTATCAAATGTTATTCTGTTGAGCAGCTGCTTCGTAATCGACTTGTAGCAACAGCACGAAAATGTATGGGTAAGAATGAAAGTCTGTCACAAGTGTACGGAAGCATGCAAGAAGCCTATCAACAGATGCAGACTCCATTGGTTTATCAGCAACCTTCAACTCGAGTATGATTTCGTATCTTGTTTTATATTTTCCATGTAACATGGAACTATTGTTGCTTCTTTCATTTGTCTCGTACATGATAAGTAGTTACTATTTAAGAATTTGTCTCATGAATACTCTGATATTGCTATACTCTGAACTTTAAAGTAAAAAATTAAAAAAAATAAAAAAAAAAATCTCAATATAAGGGAATATAATTTGTAACCAAGGCATTTGGCTTGCTTGGTATGTCCTCCGCCTTGGGGAAGTAGAAGTTCACGCTCCTGTGGAGTCATGTGTTTGTGAGTTTATTTACCTACTGCAGAAAAGGGCATATAATTTCTATAAGGACATTATATGTAATTTCGTTGCAAAAGTAATTTGAGAATTTCGTCTCTATCTTTTCAGTAAGGTGCTAAGTCATTTGGCTTATGCCATAGCTTGTCTAAACCTGTTTTCTCCTCAGGGACTGAACGAATTAAAAGACTCAACAATTCAATTGGCTTCAAGCATGGGTCACATGGATGCTCCAGTTGATGAGACAGTATTTGATGTTGAGAAGGAGATTGATGACTTACTACCGGTTGAGGTGAAAGAACAACGGCTTAGTAACTTGCTCCAATCTACAATGGTAGGAGGATGTGTTGTAGCCATGCCTTTGCTTAAAATGATCCCAACCTCAGTACTCTGGGGTTACTTTGCCTATATGGCCATCGAAAGCTTACCAGGAAACCAGTTCTGGGAGCGGATCTTACTGCTATTTACATCTCCAAGTAGAAGATACAAGTAGGGCTCATTTTCAGTCTATCTTCAGTTTGTTCCTCATTTTTCTCATTAATTTGAAGGAAAACTAATTGAGATGCACGTGTATCTGTTTTCAGAGTATTGGAGGAGTACCATGCCACTTTTGTGGAAACTGTACCTTTCAAGACAATCGCATTTTTTACTCTTTTCCAGACTGCCTACTTGCTTATTTGTTTTGGAATTACATGGATTCCAATTGCTGGAGTTCTGTTTCCTTCAATGATCATGCTTCTGGTTCCAGTGAGACAATACCTAATGCCCAAGTTTTTCAAAGGGGCACACCTCCAAGATTTGGATGCCGCAGAGTATGAAGAGTCACCAGCAATGCCATTCAACCTAGCAGCTGTAAGTTCCCCCCTCCTCCCGGCCCTGTTTTTTTCCCTCACTCCTAATGACAAGGTCAAGAACACAATTTATTTCCTTAGTTTTACAAATTTGAAAAGGAAAATTCTAAAAACTATTTTATATTTATGATACTTTAAGAGCCTGAGGAGTTTTGCGAAGCTATTAGCTTGGCACCATATTCTGGATCCAAGCAATTTGGACCAGAAAAATAGAATGTTATATTGTTATGATTATTGGGAAAATTGTAACAGCTTTTTAAGAGCAAAAAATAATTAAGGGAAACAAAAATGAAGGATGCATTAGTGGGTGGAGGTAACACATGTCCTGTCATTTTCGTCTCGAGTTAACTTGAAATTTTTGGAAAGTTAAAGAATGTTAGGGATCTACTAGAAACATTTGCACAAAATTGTAGGCCTCATTTTTGTTTATATCTTGTATGTCCTTGATGTGCTCTTGCTAGGAGGGTGAGATAGGTTCAAGAGCTTCATTTGCTGATGATAGAGAGATTCTGGATGGGATAATAACCAGAAGCCGTGGTGAGGTAAGACGTATTTGCAGTCCAAAAGTAACAAGTTCCACTACAACACCAGCCAAAGATTTCATAAGTCACCAGAGCCCGCGATTCTCATCAGATAAAGCTTACAGCCCTCGCTTAAGTGAACTTAGAGTGGATCAAAGTCCTCGGCTTGGTGGAAGAGGACAATTTAGTCCAAGGACAGGTGAAGCAAGACCTTCAAATTTAGGAAAAAGTAGTGAGAAGTAGATATGAATCAGCATATGTATTGGCTGTTATAACTGATTGCCTGCTTGCCATAAGAAAAGGTGAGGGATAGTGTGATGAATGTGTAGGTAGTCTGCAATAGCTTATTCCTAGCTTCTTTCTTTGACTTGGGCTGTTGTTGTTGTATATATTCTACCTTTGTAAACTCCATCAAGGAAAGAATAGTTGTAACCACAACTTATAGCAATAATAATATTGAATCTTTTACCATATTTCCTGTGATTAATCATATTGTTATAAGAACGGATTATATGTGACTATTTTTTTTTATCTTTTTTATTGGATTGGAGATTGCTTCAATGGTTGAATATATTTCTTTTCATAAAGAACATGAAAACATAGTCAATCAAAAGCACAAAGTATAAAGAATCAAAGTGGAATAAGGAATAAGATCAGAAAGAAACATTTTTTTTCTAAAAGGTAAAAGATTGTGTATCAGAAAAAGTTCTTTTCTTACAAGGTTTTTGGCAAGATCCAACTCACCTTCCTCACGATCGATGCCCCCTCAACTCCGGATTATCTAAGCAAGCAAATTTTATCATGATTGTATGAAGTGGCAAAGTTCATTAATGGTACCATTTCTGTAGTGAAATAATGTCTATGAAAGTTCAAATTCCACAGAAGCAGCTTTATGTGCTACTTAAATTCTCAATATCATGTTCTCATACCATGAAAACATGCAAGTACAGACATTGCGTCATCACCAACATAAAATGAATTCCCATATAAACAAATGGAGCCATTTATTTTTTCTCAATCAGAAGGAAATAACAAAGAAATTGAATTCTCATATAAACTAGTAGCTATTATTAATAGAAAATTTGAATTGAGTGGAGCCTAGTTTCTGTTTTACTGTCAAGAAGACCAATTAAGAAGACACTCAAAGAAAAAGGAAAAATAAAAAAAATAAAAAATCTTATGGATTAACCTTATATCTCCATTTTCTGGCCACCAACCAGAGGTGGTTGAAAAATGTCCTCAGGTACTAAAAGATGAGTCTGGTTTTGGGTGTAAAAGAGGTTCCTTTTGGCATACCAGTATTCTTACTTTATGAGTCATATCTGTAGCTTTAGAAGTAGGCAAAGAGTTCTTGTACCTCCTTGTTTGTTTTATTTGTTTTCCTTACAACTTTTGAGTTGTCAATCAGTATAGCTCCTCTTTCTAGCAGGGAAAAAAAAAAAAAAAAATTGACAGCTAATTTGTAAAGGAACAACTCTTGGCATATTTAGTGGAAACTACATGGAAGGATGACTTTTAATTAATTTTTACGGTTAAACTTCGCACAAGGCAGGTTACGTATTTTTGCTCTACAAAGCAACCATATACTACTTTTGCAATGTTAGAAAAACAACAAAGGAATTTGACTTTGTGATGCGAAATGATGATGTTCATGAATCAAACAATTATGTGATTGTAACACTTGTGAATTCCCATACTTAGTTATGGCCCCCCTCCCCTCCCAGAATGTGGTACTGTTGTTCAATAATACCACATTCTGGCTGAGGCTCCTCCATGTGGTAATCCACTCTGCAGAAGCCTAAAGATAAGGTTGACAGAAATTTCTAGAATTGACAATCTGATTCTGATGTGAAAAAAAATATAAGGTATGCATTTGGAGAAGAAAAGTGAATTGGAAAGAGTGTTGTTGGAACAGAAATGAATCAAAAGCAACGGTCGTAATTCTTTCACGTAACTTTGTGTTTTTTTTTTTAATAGGAATACAAAGGGCCCAATGTTCTCAATTGCAGGATAATGGTGAAGTAGGCATGTTGAGAGTGTCATAGCAATTGACTTGTGAACTTAGTGGGAACAGTGGCTGTGATCATGTGTCATGAGGGTTCTTGGTCCCTTTGCTAATAATTTCATAATCTTTGTTTGATATGTTGAAGTTCATAAAGTTTTGAAAAAGAAGAATTCAACATTATCAAACAAAGAATTACAACCGTTGCTTTTGATTCATTTATGTGCCAACAACCTCATCATAATTAAAGAGAATTGTTCAACAGAAGAAGGATGAGTGGATTGACATCTACTCATGTGATCAATGTGTTGGCAGTAAAGTGTGAAACTTATATAGAGGATGGGGTCAACTATGCCACCTAATTTATACATGCATAATCTCATTTCCTTGAATTCAACCTCAGCACTAAAGAGAATGACTTTCTTAGCTTCCTATGCAGCCTTCATTGATTCACACAACATCTTTCTGATTTTAATTTACTGATGCAGCCTTCATTGATTCACACAACATCTTTCTGATTTTAATTTACTGGTGAACTGAAACTTAACAGATCAAGTTCATCCTATATGAACAGAAAATAGATAATTATTTTTTTTTATTATTTTTTTTTTCAAGGCAATAAATAACTCAAAGGGTATCAAAAACCAGACAAAGTTTGTTTCCAAAAGTATCAACACCATGTTCTTCTAATTGCTTGAAATTCTAAACTCAATGTTCTGTCTCAACATGTAGTCACACTGACAAAAACTAACAAGCAAATCAAGTAATAACACTCACCAACATCTTTTTTTGGAAGTAAAATCTCATTGATGATCACAGAATCTATGAACTAAAACATTTTTTTTTTTTTTTTTGACAAAAAGAAAAATACAGGAAAAATAATCATATTGATCCAATACATTAACCACCTTCCTTAATTTAAGTTTCTGAATTTAGGATCATATATGCATCTTGCCAGACTCATATTGTATGTGGATTTAGTTACCTTGGTACACCTGCAAAATTCAGAAAACATACAGAATATAAATTTGGAAATACTATCCTTCAAAAGATAGTGTGTTAGCAAGCATGGGCCACATTAAGTATACATAATAAATGATGCAAAAGATCAAAAGGCCATTTTCTTGCATTTTTCATTTTGCTCTTTTGAAACCCCAACAACTATATATGATTACTGTCCCTCTCCTAATCCTAGGTTCTCTAGGCTTGAATCTTTTTTATTTTTATTTTCATTGGTAAGAAAAACACACACTCACAGTGCCCCTATGGGTTAAGTGCCTTAGTGTTTTTTTTTTATTTCCACATCAAATGAGGAGTTTTGGTCTTTCTTGTATAAACCAAAACAATCAAGAGTCTTGAAATCCTATTGATCACTTTCAGACCCTAAGAGTTAAGAATTGACCATTGGACAAACTGAATCAGTAATCCTTAAAAGAGACCAGGATTACCTCCAGTCTCACAGTGCCCCATTTTCTCCATTTTTGTAAATAAAAGTACATCCCAATATTTTCGTAAGGAGCATCCCAACATTTTCCTACTATGAATCCCAATATCTTCCTACTATGCTGTTGGGAAACGTACAAGTTTTAAAAACTTTTCGAGGGATTTTGATTCATAAATCTTGATTCATCACATAGAGACAAATTTTATGCAAAAATAAAACATGATGTATCATTCAATTAACAGATTGAATACTTACATCGAAGGTCTGAGTAAACCTTTAAATCTTTCCTCTAAAGTGAATGTTCTCACTTATTGTAAATCCCCTAGCAAGATGCCTTCTCTTTGGATTTCCATCTTTTTGGTAATTGTTTTGCCTTTAGGGATCACTCATAAGTCTCCATGAAAGACCTTAGAAAACTAGGCTTGTGGGAGCCTCCATTAGATAAGAACATATACCCTAATTTTCTAGAAAAAGAAAATGTATTCATTTTTCCTTCTCATAAAAATCACACACAAAATATACATAAACCATGTATATTTATAGGCAGCATAAAGATAAAGAAAAGGAAATAACAAATCCTTCTCAATCTCTAATTCACAAGTCTCAAATATAATAGGATTCCAATATCAAGTTGGGCTATGAGTGAGAATCCATTGGGCCTATTATTTTATTGGCTACAATGAATTAATAATTGGTCCGGTCTATGAACCCAATTCATTTAATTCATAAATTAATTTCTACTCCACTAAAAGAAATTAATTAAACTCCAATTAAAAAATAAATAACCTCTAAGTCAATATTGCACTTTGACCGCTCTATGCATAATTAGTTATCGAATAAATAAAGCCATCAATCCTACTACTTAATTAATATATTTATTTTGGTAACTTTGATTATTTCTGGCTCGATCACAATAAAACATTTGTTTGACAAAAATAATAATTTAAATAAATATATATATATAATAAATCATTTTGTCTAAAAACATACGAAGGCCCTCAAATTTACTTTGTGATCAACCATAATCAATACAAAATAAATACAAGTAGCAATGATGCAAATATTGAAAATATAACCCTCTAACTATTAATTACAAGACTACCCAAAGTATCGGTCTAAGGATCCCGAAGAATCCGCCGAACAAATCAAAGTAATTATTAATTAATAAAAGAGTCTATAATTTTATCATGCTTAAGAGTCAAATGCCATGACAGTGATAGGGAGCAATTGCATACGACGGCTCTTACAATATATCTTAACCTAACGCGGATCCAATTTAAGTCTTAATTAATTACGAGTCCATCCATAATTATCGACTATAAACAATTTATGATTATTATTTATATTCATGTATTGATCGCCATCATATACATATATAAATATTTCTTGTAATCAAGTGGACACTATCAATTCTATAATGAATCGAAACATAATACATTAAATTCACCAATTGTATAAAACGTAAATATTTAAGAAATGTCAGGAACATATATCATTATAATCCAGATAGGAATTTGCTATGTCAGGGCATATAAATCCCAACATATGCATCCCAAAAATGGGTGACGTGGCCATTTCTGGACCACTCATTTCAAAATGGAGTAAATGGAATACTAATTTTACTGGAGATGATTTTCACCCGTCCTTAAAGTTGTGAAGAGAAATTGTCCTCCCTTCCTATTTATCCAAGCCCACTAAACAAGACAATCACCCATAGCAATATGGAGAAGATTCACTTAGATAACCCAAATTCATCTCGAGGCCCAAGCCCTTTTTTCACAAGCTTGAGTAATTATTTATCCAATTAGAGTTGGGCTTGGGTCAAAACTCAAATCCAAACTTAATTAGGATTATGTTTGGGTTGAGTTGTCAACAACAGAGCCCAACCCATACCCAAATTCTATTTTATTTTTTATATATATATTTAATTTTAAATATACTATATTTATTTAAAATTATGATCATCCAATTCTTTTCAACTTTCTTGTGTTTAAATCTTAATTTTTTTTGTATATTAATACATTGAA